CAGAGCCAAGCCTCCTGTTTATGAGATGGCAAAATCACTTTATCACATAAATGCTGATTAGGTCCCCAAAATGCAAGAATGCCATGCCCAGGCTTCCTCTGTAGGTTCCACTTCTGATTCACTACGTTCTGAATCAAAAATCACTGTTTTTCATTGCTTTTTATTCAGTTCTGAGCTCAGAATTCCTCCTATATGGCTGACTCCAAGATGGCTGCTGTCCTGGGACAAACTGGGATCTGAATGCTTCCCAAGGTTGATTTCCTATACCTGCAATTTCCTGATCTACCACCAGGCGACAGGACTACACAAACCGCTTCAAAACTAGTTTAATCTCTAAGATCATACTGCTAATGAAAATACAGCCTAAATTAAAACAGGATACACATGCACATATACTTTTAAACTTATCATACTGAAAAAAAAGCAAAAGTTGGCCGGAGTTTGAGGAAACACAGAGCATTCACGCGCTGTTGGTGGGAATGTAAATTAGTATGGCCTCCTGGAAGGCAGTTTGGCAATACACATCAAAAGCCATAAACATGTGCAAACCCTTTGGTGCAGCAATCCAACTTCTAGACATTTATTCTATAGAGATAATCATGGCAATACACTTGTATTTATTCCCAGAATGTTGACTATAAGGAAGAAAAATTGTCAATATATACAACACAGCTTGGTGACTGGTTAAATACATTATATGTAAGATCAAGTACCATGTGGCCAATACATACAATAAGGATTTTTAATGACATGGAAATGTCTCACGCTGTATCAAGCGAGAAAGATAGGCTACACAAAAACTTGCTCCTGGAATCCCGTTTTCATAGCAATAACTATGAAAACAAACTTGCATATAAAACGCTGGAAATGCAAGCATGGCCATAGTGAGGGGACTTGTCACTGGGGTAGGAGTAGGGATGATGGCGCTTCCCTTTTTTCTGCTTTTTCTCTCTTTTCCAAATGCTTTATAATTGACCCGCAATTATAAATTGGAAGAGTACTGCTAACCAGCTCATGGAGCAGGACAGAAAGCTTCTGTTCAAGGAGGGCATGGAGGTGACCCTGGGGACCCTGTCAGCTTTGACCACCTCAAGTCCACAAGCTGCTCCACAGACATGGGTGGCCCCTAGGCTCTGTGTCCTGGCCACTCCTACTGGCTGCACATGTGGACCTGGTTTCAGCTCCGGGCCAGGCAGGGCCCCTCCCCCACTGCCCTCACTCTACCCTTCTTGCTCTTTCTTCCCTTTAGGAAATGACAAGGTTCTGACACAAAGAAAAAAACCAAAAATCCTCCTAGGCTGCTCCTGAAGTCTACTAAGCTGAAAAAATAAAAAATAAAAAATAAACAAATGATCCCCCAAGCTCCCAAATCAAAAAACTAACCCCCAAACCAAAATCCAAAACAAAACTCCTTTTTTTTCGAAAACTGACCATTCTCTTTGGCTGGGGATGTGTGGCTCAAGTGGCAGAGCTCCTGTCCAGCAAGCAGGAGGGCCTGAGATGAAACCTCAGTAACCCCAACAAAGACCATTCTCAAAGTTGTTTTTCTTTCCAAATACTGCAAATGTATATTGGATAGACTAGAAAGATTCCTTTTTCTTTTCTTTCGTATTTTTGGTTTTCTTTTTTTTGTTTTAAAGAATTTTAAAATTTTGGGTGGGGCTATTATTGCTCAATGGTAGAGCACTTGCCTGGCATGTGTGAAGGCCTGGGTTCCATCCCCCAGTACCACAAAAACCCTTATTATTTATTTACGTTTCTTATTAGCATAAGTTAGTTGTGCAAAGGGGTTTCATTTCGATATTTACATACATGCATATAATGTACTTGTACTTTGGTCAAATTCATCACATATATATTACTCTTAACCCCTCACCCGTCTCCTTGTTTTTTATTAAGATTTTGGTGGTCCTGGGGTTTGAACTCAGGGCCTTGCTCTTGCTAGGAAAGTACTCTAGTACTTGGGCCACACACCCAGACCTTTTGTTTTGGCTTGTTTTTCAGATTGGGTCTTGTGCTCTTGTCCAGGCAGGCCTTCCTGAGTAGCTGGGATTACAGATGTGCATCACCATGCTAGGCCCCAATTCTTTATTTCTAATTGGCCACAGAAATGAACATGATTATGGGGACAATGTGACATTTCAATACATGTGTGCAGTATGTAAGATTAGGATGATATCTGAAACCTGTCTTTCCTTCCCTTCAGATTTTCAGCAGTGAAGAAAGATAGTGATATTTAGTGAGGGGCTGCTGTGCATTGAACTGCAAATGTCACCTCATTTAATCCCCCAACTCCACAGGTGTGATCTCTCCAGGCTTTAAGAGGTCAAGTGGCCTTTCTGAGAGTCCACACAATCAAGCTAAGATCTGGGCATGAGTCTGACCGACTGGAAGCCTGACCTCTTAGGTCGCTCAGCACTGGGCAGGGGCCCCAGCCTCCCTAGTGACCACATGAAGCCATCTGTAAACACCTCAGGCTGAGGGCCAGGTGGAATTCTCCTGTATGCTTCAGGCCAAGAGATGGGAATTCAGCTCAAAACCCACAGGCCCCAGGACCTACAGAAGCCTGACCCCTGCCACATGGGACTGCTTTCCCTCCTTCAGGGGAAGCCAGGCAATGTCACCCCGTCTTGTGGGTCTCAGGAGAGGATGGCCAGTATGTAGTGTCAGAATGAGGTGGTTGGAGGTACCAGTGCAGTGTGCTGGCTTGCTCCTAGCCATGGTGACACAAATGCCCTAAACCCAGCACCATGTCAGTGAAGATACCCTAATCTGAACAGAAACTAGAGTCTGCATGTTGGCTGGGGCTGGGCAGCCTCAGGAAGGGGCAGCCATGGACTGTGATGCAGGCTTCCCAGAGGTTCTGACAGGGCCCCTCACTGGCCCAGCCTGCTCGGGTCTCCCAGCAGCTGCAGAAGTGGCCTGCAGATAGGAAATGGGGACAGCTGGCCTGCTGCCCTTGCTGGCCTCCTTCCCAGGAAGCTCCCAGCTCTGTACCTCCATCCCATCCTGCACCCCCAAATCCCAGCACTCACAGAGTCCCTTCCCTGGGTCAGACTTGGAGCCAAACATCTGTCACACATGACATTTCATGAATTCCCCAGCAGTCTTATAATGGCCCAGGCACTACCAAGCTGGGTTTGCTGTGACCACAGTGTTCTATGTTCTTTGTGGACCTTATTTCACCCAAATCCCAGTGATACTTGGTGACTTGCTAGGCTCCATACCTAGCAAGTAGCAGAGATGGATTCACACCCTAGCTGTCACCTACATAGGAGCTGGCTGCCCACCGCCCTGTCCTGGTCCTGGGAGGAAAGGCAGGGATGGCAGAGGGAGAAGAGACCTCTGCCAGTGTGTGTGTGGGGTGGCCGCTGGCCTGTCCTTTACCAGCCAACATCTTTTCTGTGCCCACAGCTAGGGGGAAAGGGCTCCCGGGCCGTCTCTGGAGATGCTGGGCAGGGGCAATGAGCTACAGTTCTGAGTCGGTCCCTGGCCCATTATAAGGCTGACCACCACCCTCTGCAATGTGCTCTGTGGCTAAGCTGGGATGGTCCGTAGGTTAGGTGGATTAAAAGGGTTTTCAACTTATGATGGTATATCAGGATGTAATCCCATTGTAAGTCGAGAGGCATATGTAAAGAGGATCCCAGAGTCCTCCCAGGAGTGGTTCTATTAGGAAGATTTTGGTCTTCCTGAGTCCCAAAGTGGGAGACTGAAATATCCCCCATAAAAGCTCGTGGTTCCCCCAAGATCTGGCTTCCAGTGAAGGAATGGGGAGCCTGACTCCTCCCTGATCAGGAGGGAGTGCTGGACCTGTGGCAAGACCCCTGACCCCACAGTGTGCTCCCGTGGGATGAAGGTGGATCATGGTTGGTTTTCCCCCTTCAACTCAGATTTTACCCAGACCCAGACATTTCTGGCCTGAGGTCATGCTGTCTGCTGCTGGGGGAGCTGCCTTGACCACCCGGAGACCCCAGACTCTACTCAGGGCTGCTCTGGGCATGAGATAAATGTACCCCAAAGTTACCACCAAGTCTTGGAGGACTGGGTTTGTGACCCATTTTATGCTTTATACACAGCTATCACCTTCCCAGTGTCTTTCAGTCCCCATTCCAAGACTCTACTGGGGGAGGTCTTCATAAATTCATTCACAGAGCAGGAAACTGAAGCTCAGAGAGGGTGAGTGCCTTACCCGAGGTCACCCAGCTACAAGGCTGCAGAGCTGGAATCCAAGCCCAGGTCTCCCTGATGATGGAGGAATGACTGCTTTCCTTGACCACCTGGGAAGGAGTTTCCTACAGGGCTGGGGACTGCTCCCCTCTACCACCAGCAGGTCCTGACTCAGGGCAGATCTGTTCATTAGAGAGACTAACATTTCCTTCTGGGCATCTTCCTGCCAGAAGCACAGAATAAATCTGTCCCCCTCATGTGATGTTCCCGCCAAGCTCCCTGCCACGGGCCTAACCCCTGCTCTGTGTACCACATCCGGATTTCTAGATGCTACTACTGTGGTCTGTGACCTCTGCAGAATTCAAAGTGACAAGGCCACCACCTCCCCTCTTACTTCTGATACAGCACTCACTTTTGACTTTACTGTGAAAGACTAGCGAGGTAATGACACCAGGAATGTCACACCGGAGCCAGCCAGAGTCTCTAGTTCCTGAGTAGTGAGAGGACAGGGGGGCTGGGAGAGGGGCAGCCTCTCCCTGCCCACTGGGAGAGGCTACAGCTGAGCCCACTGCATGGCCAGACTCTCAGCTGGGGACCGATGCACCATGCTGGAAGGGGATAAACACCTTCTGAAAGCCTCTTGGCTCTACCTGAAGGACAGCCCTGGAAGGCTGCACAGAGCTCAAGGTGGTCCCCTCCACCAAGAAAGCACAGCTACTTAGGAGCAGAGGAGGAGGAAGGAAAGAGGGGACAGGTCAGTCAAGGGTCAGGTGAAGACTATTGGCTTAAGAGGAGAAGGCAAAGAGAACAAAAAATAAATGACAATTTACCGGGTAGCCATCTCGTCCTGATTGCCCCTGTGGTAATTAATTAATTAATATGTCATTAATAATCAGACCTTCAGCAAAAAACCATATGGCAATACTCAGAACTCGGTTGGGGCTTCACATCCCCTGCGGCATCCTATGTGGCTCACAGTGGAGTTCACTGGCTGGTACCTCGCTGTTTTGGATGAGCATAAAGGCTCTGATGGGACTGGGGGACAGAGCTCCTTTTCCGTCTCAGATGGCCAGGCTGGAGGGGCCATGGGGCTTTAACAGGGCCACTAGGGCACGCACGCATTCCTGTGTATCACACTCATGTCGGCAAGGGCATATGGGGACATGGGATTCTCGAGGACGGTGTCATAGCCACTATGACTGAACAAGGAACTGAAAATGTTCCTGATTCTAGGCCCCAAAAAGGAATCTGATGAAGACACTTGATTCTTCCCAGTTCCACTAGGATAGGGTAACCTAAGAAAGAGTATCCTGGAAGCCAGAGGCCTGGGGGACATTGATTGCTACTGGCTGCTTCTCTGTTCCTCAGCACAGGTGAGGCCTGCTCTGAGCCAGCATCCCAGGCACACACAGGCATCTATCTCCCCCTTGCAGTTGTAGCTTGGGAATTTTTGCATTTGTTTAATCCACTTAACATTTTAACAACTAGGCTGAAAAAAAAAAATCATTGTACAGCCCCTCTGTGTTTTGTATTTCAGCGAGTTCACACAAGCTGGCCTCCATGGGACAGCCAGAAACAACTCCACCAGGAAACATTGCTTGTGGCCAAAACATCGACAATTTTTGTTGGCTTGCTTTTTTGAATCAAAGTGCTGCTACATGCAGGGAGAAGGCCAGATTCGGAAGGGTGCTGATGGGAAAATGAATCATGGTTAAGTGGAAGTAAGAAACAAAATGGCTCATCTGAAAAGAATTCCTTTGGAAGGTTAATTTTGGCTCACGTTGTCTGCCGATGTGCTTCATGAATGGATTCACTGGGATTTATTGGCTCTGAAATACTGCCATGAAGAATCAAAGGCAGAAAATCCCATGCCCTGGAGAACATGGGATTTTCAGGGCCACTGGAGTCCCTGCAACCAAAGCTACCTCTGGCCAGCCAAGGGAAGTCCAGGGGGACTTGTTTCCCCTTACCATCCCCTTTTTTTTGTGGGTACTGGGGTTTGAATTCTGGGCTTTGCACTTGCAAGGCAGGCATTCTACCGCTTGAGCCACACTTCCAGCCCCCTTACACCCCTTCTTAAATGCAGTGATATTTCCTTCTGGTGGCATTTTAATCCCTCCTCCAGCTAGCTAGGTTCACAAAGTCCCAGCCAAGAGGAAGTATTCTGCAAAGAAGGATCTAGTGATTCTAGGATCCTAGAATCTAGTGATCTAGCCCAGCTTCTTCCTGAATCCACTGCCTGACTCCAGAGCTGCCTCTGGCAAAGCACACGCCAGAAAAAGCATTTAAAAATATTGGTGGCTGCAGAGCATTTCAAAAATATGGGCTGATGCTCACATTTCTGGGCACTAACTTGAGCCAAAGATTTGGTGAGGAGCAGCCAGGCTTGTGCCAGCTCTCTTGAAAGAAAACCGGTCCAGGTTAAGTCAGGTTGGGAGAATTCTGAGCTTGCCTCCATCTACCAACTAAAATACGATACAGCCCTATCTGGGGTGGATTTTTTTTAAAGGACACACCCACCAAAAATTACTTTCATGACAGTGTTAGAAAGAGATAATCAAATAAATGTCTTATCTTTCAGGAGCAGAGCACAAAGTCCAGGATACTTACAGGAGGACCTGCAAAACACAAGCAGAGAAGTCACTGTCAGCATCAAAGGCAGAGAGGTCCCCTTGCCTGTCCTCAGCATAGCCACTGGCCACTTCTCTCATCAAGGTTCTGATGGGGTCACAGTTGTTTCCTGAAATGGCCCTGCAAACAAGTGTCTGCCACAAAACCAAGTGACAGAGCAGAAGCACCTTTACCCTCAGAGGGGCTGGGTGGCCATGTGGGTTGAAATGATAATTCCCACTCATTCGTGAACTCATTTTCTGAGCTGGGTGGTGCTCACTTGTGCTGGCTTCTGGCAACCTGAGTAAGAATTAGACCTTGTTCTTGCTTGAAGGACAATTGTAGATCTCATCATGGGTTGGCGCATTTCTGTTGGGGGAAAGAGACATGGGGAAAATGTCTTGGGGAGAGTGAGGAAGTGGGATAAGGCACACAGAAGAGTGAGGTTGAGCAGAGGTGGGGGTGGGTGTCTGTGGTCCAGCCCTGGGGTTAGGTGTGCATGAGGAGGTGCAAGGTCATAGTTTAGGGACGGACCCATCTGTCCCTCACTTACAGTTGGCAAAGCAGGATGCACATACATTATTGCATTTGGCCATCCCAACAGTCTTTGGCGAGAGATACAAGGAACACGTTCACTTGGCAACACAGAGGCTCAGACAGAAGTGACTTGTCCAGGGTCACACATAGTCAGCCCTCCATAGCCATGGGTTTTACACTGTGGGTTCAACCAATTGCAAATCAAAAATATTTCATTTTACTTTGTTATTTAAATTTTTTGGTGGCACTGGGATTTGAACCCAGGGCCTTGCACTTGCTAAGCAAAAGTTCTACCACTTGAGCCATGCCCTCAGCCTTCAAAAATATTGTACTTTTACTGAACATGTGTGGACTTTTTTCTTGCCATTATTCCCTTAAAGGACACAGTATAACAACTATTTACAAAACATTTACTTTTTTTGCTTTTTTTTTTTTTTTTGAGAGGGGGTCTTGCTATGTAGCCTAGCCTGGCCTGGAACTTGAGATCCTCCTGCCTCAGTTTCCTGAGCACTGGAATTACAGGTGTGCATCACTATGTTCAACCATAACATTTACACTATATTAGTTATTCTAAGTCACCTAGAGATTCGGCAAAGTATCTGGGGCGATGTGTACACGCAAATATTACACCACTTTATGTGAGGGACTTGAATGTCCATGGGTTTTGTATCCCCAGGGAGAACCAGTCCTCTGCGGATATGGCAGGATGGCTACAGTTGGTTAGGGGTGTAGGGAATCCTGGAAAGCAGTCTCCCAAATCTACAAACTCACGTACTTTCCACTAAGGAAACTTTTGCCACTGCCAAATCAGTAACTCCTCTGTTCTGTCACACCTCAAAGCTCACCCTACGGAGTGAGACTGCACCCGGGCAGCCCTTAACAGTGACGTGAATAAGGAGGATTTTGAATGGTCAACTATGAGCTATAAGCCTTGAGAGGTAAAGAATGGGACCCCATAGTGAGTACAAGACGTAATAACCCCTGATTCACAGAGAGTGCATTCAACAGATAGATGCTTAGAAAACCATGACTGGGGGGCGCACAGGAAGCTCCAAGCACAGAACAAGGGGCCTGACCCAGGCTGGCCAGCTCAGGAAGGGAGGCTAGGCTGAGTCCAAACAGAAAGGGAGAATGAATTATTAAGGGGAGGGAGAAGAGATGTAGAGAGGGAAGAGCTCAGAACATGCCAGGAGCTCTAAGGAGAAGTGAGCAGGCAGTGGTGGAAAGGACAAGGAGGGCCAGCTAAGCATTAGGGCCTGATCTCCACATTATGGTCTGGGCTGGGGAAGACTTGGCCCTAAGGGCAGTGTGGGTTACTAAAGGTTCTGTATGGACGAGGAGAGCAAGCGAAGCCAGAGTGGACTCAGGGATGGGCTCCAGTGTCCCTGTGTAGGTGCTGGCAGTGGCGATGGAGAGGGGAAGACTCTGGAGTTGCTTGTCAGACAGGAGGGGTGGGGCTTGTTGACTGGTGGGGATGAGGTACATAGAGGAAGGAGAGTGATGACAAAGATTTTTGGCTTGAAAAACTGAGGTACTAATACCCAAGAATGGTAACACGGGGGCTGTGGTTTCCGTAAGTCTAGACTAGGTTGTCAGAGCAGGGCATGGGTAGCTTAAATGTCCCATAGACTCTGCATCTTCAGACGATGTCCTTGCTTCCTACTTGACAAGGAAAACAAAAGCCATGGGACAGACTCACCACCACCTTTCTGAGGACAGATAAATAAACGTATGAATGTGTGCCTGCATGTTTGCCCATGTCTGTACCTGCACGTGCACCCATATCTGTGCCTGCATCTGTACCTGCACCTGGACCTGTGTGTGCACCTGTGCCCATCCTTCCCTTTATAATTAGCCTCCCCAGGTCAACAGGAGCGGGGAACAGACTCACTCCAATAGAGGCCATTTCCCCTCCACCTTTTTTGGAGCCCTGCCCTACCCACTGATCTGTCTCTGTCTGTCACAATCTTGCAGCTCTCTCAAGCAGATCCCTCCTAACGGCTTGGAAACCTGCTCTAATTCCCCCAATCACCAAAACCATGCCATGGTCCCACCCCTCCTGTTCCTGCCCTGTCTCTGCCCACTTCCTTAATCAGATTCCTAGACTCCCTCCAATTCTTACCTTCCACTCCACTGTGACTCTGGTTCAGATCCCAGCCCTATCCTTCCACAACAGCTTTTCTTGAGGTTACCAACGCAAGGCCTCCATGCCAACAAACCTCTCCTCTGCATGCATGGTGACTCATGCCTGTAATTTCAGCTACTTAGGAGGCAGAGATTGGGAGGCAGAGAATGGGATGATTATGGTTTGAGGCCAGCCCCGGCAAAAAGTAAGCAAGATCCCATCTCAATCAATAAAAAACCAGGCATGGTATTATTGCGCGCCTGTCTTCTCCGCAGTGGGAGAGGCTGCGGGTAGTGTCATGGTCCCAGGCAAGCTGGTAGAGTGGGGGGAGTGGGAGAGCAAGACCCTTTCTGAAAATAACCTAAAACAAAAAAGGCTCAAGTTGTGGCTCAAGTAGAGCACCTGCATAGCAAGTGCAAGGCCCTAAGTTCAAACCCCAGGACTGAAAAAAAAGTAGGGAGAAGGGAAGGAAGTCCTGGAAGCCAAGTGCAGCAAGTGTCTGGAGGTGGGGGAAGCTGTTGTCTACATGGTCCCCAATGAATACATTGCCGATGGGTCAAGACAGATGAAGACTAAGAACTAGATCCACCAGTGCAGAGGCTCTCTCTGTGGTGGGATGATTGTGGAAGTCTAATGAGAGGTGGTTAAGGAGAGAAGGGAGGGGGCAGTGTAGACAGCAAGTACTTTGAAGAAGTTCTGCTGCAAAGGAGAAACAAGGGAACACAGTGATTGCTTAGGGTGCATAGGGTCCAGAGAGTGGGTTTTCTTTAACATGGGACACACAGCAGCATGTCTTCGTAATGGGAATCAGCCAGCAGAGAGGTAAGGACTCCTCACAGAGGAGAAAGGGGGGATCCTGGAATGATGTTGCTAAGGAACTGAGAGAGGCTGGTGCTGGTGCACAGAGTGGGCAGAACCCATGTGGGAGCCTGGGCGGTCCATCTGCTGGAACAGGCAGAGGGCACAGGGCTGCTGGGAGTATGGCTGAAGACATGGGAGTTTATGGAAGTTCTCTTTTGCTGTGCCCCTTCTTCCAGTGAAGCAGGATGTGAGGCTACCAGCCACAAGTGATGATGGTGGAGGAGGTGTTGGGGAGGGGCTGATAAGGAGCTGAATGGGGTAGGGAACATGGCCTCACTGCCAGTTAGCATGAAGGGGTCCTTGAGGTCTGTGTCTGGGACTCAGAGGGAGCTGACAAGAGTACTCAGGAGGAGTATATGGAGGGCTGGGTTTAATCTGGGTGGTCCATTGCTGAGTGAGACTGCGGGGAGAGAGTATGGTGGATTCTGAAGGGGGCAAGGTGATGGGGTCCATCAATTCGAAGATGGGTGAGATGAAGGGTTGTAAGGGTTGGAATGTGAGAAGTGAGATTTTTATGGCTGCTGCTCTTATTGGTGATGATGGGGCACTAGAGGACCATGGGAGGGAGCAGATAGGCAGGCGGAGGCCAGCCTTACTGGAGGAAGGGAGGCTGCAGCACTCAGAGGCTGAAGTGCCTGAGAGAATCTATGTGGATATCCAGACTCCCCTGAGGGGGAAGGGTAGCCAGAGAGGGAGATGGAGGCCGGCTGGTTAATCAGCACAAAAATATAGTTGGATAGAAAGCCTGAGTTCTAGTGCTCTAAGCCCTGTGACTATGGCTAACAAGGATCTGTATATATATTTCAAAGTTCCTGCAAGAGAAGATTTTGAATGGTCAACACAAAGAAATGATAGTGTTTGAGGTGGATTTTCTAATTACTCTGATTTGATTGTTACACATCGTCTGTCTGTGTCAAAATCACACTGTACACTATAAATATGTAAGGGGAACAAAGGATTAATAGGAATTTACTGAGAAGCAATGTTGGAGAGAGGCTGGTGACCAGGGGTGATGTCTGCTAGCCATGAGGTAGATACGCCTGGGATAAGACACGGCTTCAAATACAGCTCACTGCTGCTCCAGTCTCAATGCTGGAGCCAGAGGGCAGTTTTCCAAATGCAAATCTGATCATGATACTCCTCCTCCCCACTGTGGCACTGTTCTTGAGACAAAAGCCCCAATCCAATCCTGCCTTCCATGCAGTGATCTGCCCTTCCCAGCCCCAGCAGGCTCCCTCCAGACTTCCCCCTGGCCTGATCCCCTCAAGACAGTAGGGAGAAATGTTACTACTAGGGGTGATGGCAAAACTGACAGCTACCAGAATAGGTAAAGTTGGTCCAGTGCTTCAAATTAAACCAGAGTAAATTCCAAAAGGATTGGAGATTTACATTTTAAAAAAATCATGAAACTCCAAGAGTAAAAAATGGCCAGAGGACAAAAAAGGCAGGGAGACTTACTTTCCACCATAGACTCCTGCCCATGTG